CAGGCTGTGGCTTACAGGGGCCCTCTCCCTACTGAGGAGACCACCTCTTTGTCTCCAGCGGAGGGCAGGAGCTTCCCTCTGAGCCTTGAGAGGCAAACTGGCCTTGCACAGTCACCCTCATGCAGGACAGGGTTGCAGGAGAGGATGCGTGGTGCCCATGGGATAAGGGGAGCTGTGTCTGCTGCTGTCCTGCACCCAGCTAACTCTGAGCCGGAGGAGACTGGCAGGGTCTGTAATCTAACAACTGGGCTTATGTCTGACAGGAGGTAAACTCCCCAGGTGATTTTCTTAGAAAGCTGGAAATAGCTTTTTGAAGGGGTTTTAAAGCAGCTGGAGAGAGACAAGTGCTGCAGAGAGCCCACTGTTGCTACGGCGTGGGTCCAAGTCCTGGAGGGGGCTGTGCTCCTCTCTGGCCCTGTTTAGGACAGAGATGGGACGCAGGCAGTCATGTAGCATGGCTTTGTGTGCATCTGTCTGTCCATCTGTCCTGCTAGTAATGCTGGAGGCAGTGGTGACCAGTAGTGCTGGCAGCCAGTGTCAGTCCCTTGCAGCAAGGGTAAGGTAAACAGATAGGGGGTTCCCAGGGGTTTCTGGAACAGCAGTGGCCAGGGTAGGAGGAGAGTGGTCAGAGGGCTCAGCTATCCTAGGGGTGGTGAAAGTGCAGCTCAGCCTGCATTAGACACTGGAGAATACACCTGGGCACCTGAGGCCAAGCCTTGGAGAAACCTGCCTTAGTGCTCCCAGAGCTGTTTACTCCCTGTCCCCGGAGACTCCCAGTCCTGGAGGAGGAGAGACTAGGGCATGCCTAATCCTGGGAGGGGGTGCTGGCGGCACATGGGCTTCCAGCACTGTGGCTGCCTGTCTGCAGTGAAGCCACCTGCCTGTGGAGCTGGTGGGACAGGGCTGTGCCTGGCCATCCCACAGAGCCCCAGGGCGGTGGGGGCTTATCTCCTGGTTGCATGAGTTAATCCAGGGACCTGAGCTGGGATCAGAGCATGGACAGTGCCAGGAGAGGGTGGAGGTGGGGAAATGAAGGCACTGAGCTCACAGACCCAAGTTGGCCCAGCGGGACCAAGTCAGGGCCAAAGGATCGCTGTGAGCCCCTGACATGCAGGGTTAGCCTTCATGTCTACTCAAAGAGGAGGATCACCTCTAATCCCATCTGCACTGCATGGACTGCTAGCCACTTTGGAGCAGGGCTGGAGGTCTCCAAGCACTGCTGAGTTGGTGGGCTATGCTGCCCTGCACTGCAGGCAACAAGGGCTGCGGTGTGTGGATGATGTCCTCCAGCCTCCCGCACCTCATCAACAACCAGATCAGCCACAACAGCATCTATGGGGTGGCGGTGTTCTGCTGCAAGGACAACACTGGTGACTACCCCCCCAGTCAGGGGGGCAGCGAGAGCTTCCAGGAGGAGAGGGAGGGTGCCGGCGGGGAGAATGACCCTGACAGCGAGGAGGAGTACCCGGCTGCCCGGCATCCCATCAGCGTGGCACTGGTGGAGTTGAACAGCATCAACCACAATGGAGGTGAGCTCAGGGCCCAGGGCTCTTCCTGGGCTCCAGGAGGAGGGGTGGCATGCAGAACAGTGTGTTGTCCTGGCCCACCAGCACTGGGGTCTACCAGGGTCTTCCTCAGCTGCCACCAGGCCAGAAGCACCCTGGAGAAATGGTGGGCCAAAACCTGAGCGTAGGTGGGTTTTTGTCCTTAAGCTCCCAATCAGAAAGTCATATTGTGACAGAAGAAACTGAGTAGCTTTTAGAAATAGAAATACATTTGTGGTCATCGTGACATGCTGCAAGTTCTTAACCGATAGCCCTTCTTCTTGTTGGCAGCTGCTGGGTTGCACATCAAGAGCAGCGAAGCGCTCAACATCATTGCCAATGTAATTCATGCCAACCGCGATGGCGGAGTGGCAGTGCTGCAGAGCAGCCAGCTGACGCGCATTGCAGACAACAGCATTTCCTGCAACAGCCGGGGAGGCGTGCTGATCGAGGCCGAGTGCCAGGTGGAGCTGCGTGGCAACGGCATCTATGACAACAGCAGCCATGGCATCATCTCCAAGGGGGAGGGCGTCATCGCAGAGAACGACATCATTGGCAACCACAGGTGTGGCCTTCAGCTGCTCCAAGCAGCAGACATGAAGGTGCGTCTTGCAGAGAGCTGAGGGGCCACTGACTTTTGCGTCCCTGTGGCCAGGGGCAGCAGCAAGACAGATCCTGCTGCTGCTGCCCTCCCTCCCTGGGTGAGGGGGGAACCAGCAGGCTCCTGGCTGGCAAGCAGAACAGGAGGGACTACCCTGACATTGCCAGCAGGAGGAGCAGACAATCAGGTGATCCTTGACCCTGTGATTAGAGGGGCTGTAATTTCCAGGCTACATTAGAAGTGTGTCCAGCCAATCGAGGAAAGTTGTCACCCATCTCCTTTGCCATTGGAAGGCTGCATGTTGTGTCCAGTTTGGGACCTCAAGGTCAAGAGGGAGGTGTAGAAAAGGGAGAGGGTCCAGTGCAGAGCTACCAGGATGGGCAAGTGCCAGGACTGATGAGATGAGGCAGAGGGAGCTAGGCTTGGTTAGTCTGGCAAAGAGGAGGCCAAGGGAGATCTAACAGCAGCCCACAACTACCTGAATGGCAGTCAGAGCCAAGCCCTTCTCAGCAGTGCCAGGCAGTACAATAAGGGTCAACGGCACAAGTTGCAGTGGTCCCTGGACCTTGGGAAGTCCACGTGGAAGACTGGGGGGGGTCTCTTGCCTTGGAGGGTATTGCAACCCTGGAACACGTCACAGAGCAGTGTGGAGTCACCATCCTTGGGGGTTTCCAAGCCTTGGCAGGACAAAGCCAGGGCTGCCCTGATCTAGTGCTGTTGACAGTCCTACTCCAGAGATCCCTTCCACCAGCACTCCTTAACTCCACATCTTTTGTGGGCAGTCATTGGGAATAGGCTGGAGGAAAGTCAGCAGAAATTGTCTGAGGGAAGATGTAGGTGGGAATTAAGTAAGCATTTGTTTTTAATCAGGCCAGCAGTGCAAAACTAGAGTGCACTGCTCAGAAGAATGTGAGATTCCCATCCCTAGTGGCTTTGAAGCGTGTCACATCCTAACATCTGTCAAGAGGGGGTTAGAAGTGCTCCCTAGGGCCCAGAGGGAGGAGGTGAGATCTTCCTTAGCCTCAGCGTTGTTGGGTCCATGCTTATTATTGCTCACATGCAGCAGGAAAGCACACATGTACCAGCAGAGCTGGCTGTGTTGCCCCATGTGAATATGAAAGGAGGTCTGTGAGCAGCAGCAGCTTTTCAGGTGGGCAAATGCATGGAGGAAGGGCTTCTGCAAGCTCCTGCCATTGCTCAGTGGCAAAGAAAAGAGTAAATTTTGCAAGTCCTATCTCAAGGCTGTATCTTTGTTGACAGTGATCCACAGGTGGCTTGTCACATCTGTCTGATGTTTAAGCTTTGGTAGAGGACAGCTCAGTCATCATTTCCCACATGTGGATTCACAGATGGCTTGTAGGAGAGACCTCTCTTCCCTCAGAGCAGCAAAGGGAATCCTGTGCATTTTTGGTGCAATGACATTCAACAAAGTCCATCTTCTCCCAGGCTTGTCCTCTGTATTTAACTGAGTGGCACAGTCAAGTGGGTGATCCCACAGGCCTCTGTTGGAGATTTTCAGGCTGTGTGAGCTGTGCTGAAGAACTGGGGTAGCTGGCATCTGAACTAGATTTTTTGGAAGTTAGATGCAGTGTTCCAGCATCTCGCCAGTTCTGAAGGTTAGTACCTGGCTCAAGGTTACCTCCATTCTGTTCTTTGTTGAGATGAAGCCATTGTGCATCAAAATGATAAACAAATGGAGTTTAATTCATTGTGAAGGACCCCTAAAATGAATATACAGAAAGCCCTGCCAAATGCTCTGCATGAGTCCTGCAGGGGCTGCATCCTTCTTTTGAAAACTATGCCCATAGAAAAACATTGTCCTCTGGACCAGAAGCTAAAAAATACTGCATTTTTCATGGTCCCAGCTGTCCAGTCTCCTGGAGCACACAGGCAGGATTCATGTTGCAGGGTTCATTTGGGGAACAGAGCCGGTGGCACAGTCCTTGTTCAAGTACTGGCCATGTTGTGGTGCTGTTGTTTCTCATCTGCCCACTGGCAGAGCTCACGAGGTGCCTGAGAGCAGGTGAGATGGTGTGCAGTGCTGGGTGGGGAGGAGTGCTGGGCAAGGAGTGTCACAGCAGCTGTTGCTGTGGAGTCAAGGAGGAGAAGGGACCGAACTGATCTTCCAGATGATGGCACAGTGAGAGCTGTGGCCTTGTCTTTCTTGGGAAGAAGAGACTCCTAAGTGCTTTTTTTTTCATATACAAAAATGTGACAGCCTGTAGTACAGGCGTTTGAAACCTGGAGGGCAAGGAACAGCATCAGGTTCATGTTCAGCAGCATCTGTGCTTGTGTTTCACCAGCAGGTTGGGTACCAGCTGCAGTGAAGCTTGTGTGAAGCTGAGCTGCCAGCTGGGGCCACCAATAACGTGTAAAAGGCTTTGGGAAAGCTTGTGTGTGCATGACTATGGCGTGTCCAATCTGAACCCTTGGTATGCTCCAAAACTGCCAGGGAGTGGTAGTGAGCCTGCGGAAGAGCGATCAGCGAGCCGTACAAACAATGTCCTTCTGCTTGGGCAGTCCTGTCTAAAGCTTATTTTGCAGGTGACCAAGAACAGGATCCAGTCCTTTCGGGACTATGGGATTGCTCTCTTTGACGAAGCCAAAGGCCTGGTGCAGGAAAACCTCATTTTCCAAGGGAGATCCAAGAAATCCATTTTGCGACCAATGTCAAATGCAGAGGATTGCGTCATCCAAAACAACATGCTTCTCGCCTTCAAGAAAAGGTGAGGCCCCTGGCACCATGGGGTGCAGTTGTGAGCTTGGAGCCACCATTGAGCTCCTGTGTTAGGTGAGCACTGGAGGGTTCTGCTTTGTAGCTCCTCTTCCCAGCTTCCTACACCTGCTGACCCACAGCACCAGCCCCACGTGTGCAGTGAACCACTGCAAATGAGGACTGCAGATCAAGCACAGCCAAGAGGTTCCTCACGGGATACCTCTAAAGCCAAGTGAGCGGCTTGGATTATTCCTTGACAGGCCAATGTGGGTCTTCATGATGTCTCTGAGCACAGGGACATGTTCCCTGTGCCCTGGCCAGCTCATTCTTCTGCACAGTGCTGCCTTTGAAGTTTGGCTGTTGTTTTTGCATACTGCACTGCTGTCCCTGCAGCACAGACAGCCCCAGGGTGTTTGTAGGGCTGAAACAGTCAAAGGAAGGAGGGCTGGCCAGAGCCACCCCCAGTCTGCATTGTGCTACTGTGCTGGTAAGGAGAAGGGTGGCTTCAGGCACCAGATTCCACCTCCAGGCTTTTGCTACCAGAGCAATGTGAATGGTGAATTGGAAAATGGATCTTGGAGTACTTGTTTTTCCCAGGTGTGATTTAGCTACCCTGGTCTTTGTGCCAGTGTGAGAACCTGTCTTCTGGTGGTCTTCAGAGGTACCTCTGTAGCTGCAGACCTCTAATGGGTATTGCAAAGCTTTCCTTAGCTACCAGCTGTCACCCAGATCTCAGTGACTCTCATCATTATAGGCCTTGTTCAGAACAGAGCACTCAAAACCAGGACTCTGTAGCAGATGCCTGAGGAGGGAAAGCTGGAGCCCCCTCAGCCATACAAGGGCTGCGTATTCAGTGGATTGTTCTTAGCTAGAAATTTGACGTCGACTCTTCTCTCTGGGTCACAAATCTTGGTCCGGGGTGTGGGAGAGGACACAGTGAAACTGGAAGACATGGATTACTGGAGGGAGGTTAGGCCATGGGGTCTCCCAGGCTGATGAAGCTCTCACCTGGTCCTCCCATAGCATGAAAGTCAAGTGCACTGGGCAGGACTCTCAGCACTTCCTCCAGTGCCCTTAGCCCCAGTATTGCTCCATTAGGTTTTCAAATCTTTTCAAACCTCTTTAAGCAATTCTTGGGAGGTCCCAGCATTGACTCTCCCTCTGCAGGCTCTTGCCCCTATCCCCCAGAACTTGCAGTCACTTAGAAGTGTTGGCTGTGAGATCACAGGAAATAGTTTTGTAGTAAAGTAAGATGCTCTGACTCAATTCTTCAACGATTTCTGCCCGACTTGGGTTTTGGAACAGATGTCGCATGGTGAGCATTGTGTGCCTGCTAGCACTGCTCTGCCCCTTTCCGCCTTGAAGGGTGAACCTCAAGGGAGTGTTTGTAAGGCTGCTCTGGAAGTGCCATTCCACCCCACTCATGGCCACATGTGGGGTGTCTCTCCTTTTCCCAGGTTTGATATGGAGTGCATGCTGATCAACCCCCCAGCACGGCCTCACATCGAAGGAGGTGCTCCTGGGTCCTGCATGGCGGATGGTGGTCAGATGGTTTCCAGCATAACCACCAGGGTGGATGGAGGCTGCCACAACCATGGGAGCATCTTCTGCACCATTCTTTGACCAGGGAGGAGGTTTCTTCACTGGTCTCTCTGCCTGTCTTTTCTCCAGAGCTGCTGCCAGGAAGCTCTCACAGCTCAGGGATGGGGAACCATATTGGACTGTACTCCTTTTTTCATGAAGGATTTTGCAACTTCAGTGGCACCTCACTAAATAAAAAATAGCTGGGAAAATAGCTGTTAATTTCTTCCTCTTTGCCCACTGAGATTGCTGCTGGGGTAATTTACGAGTGAGCAGTTCCTTAGATGAAATGCGCTCCTGGCACGACCACAGGTGCACCTGGCTGGGCCTCCCCAGCCTGAGCTCCAGACAAACCTCTCTTCCTGTGGGGCCTGCGGCATTATTTATTTGGGAATCACTTGCTTTGAAGCTGCTTTGTCAGTGACCATCTGCATTTGTGCCAGAAGATTCAGAGGCTGACAACATATCCTGTGTGGTCTCGCTCAATTTCTGTTTGTGCTGATTCTGACCCAGAAGGGGCACACAGATGGACATACGCACAGACTTACGTATGTGCAGTGCAGGTCCCGCAACGGGGCTCAGATGCTTTCTGCCCAGTACCTGCCCCTGGGTCCCAGTCTCCCCACTTTCTGACATCAGGACATATGAGCCCCCAGAGTCTGCAGGACCCCCTCCACAGACAGGCAGACAGACACAGACAGACAGAGTACCTGGGCTCCCAAACCACTTCACCTCCTTGTTGGCAGCAGCCCCACACAGACGCAGATCCCCACCCACCACTGATGCTGGCACCCACACTGAAGGGAGAGCACTCACCCTTGGAAGAGTTAGAAACAGCGTTTGGTGAGTGGACAGGACAGACTGTGCTTGTCAGGCACAGTATGGCAAGACCAGCCTCTGCTTGTGGCCACCAGCCACCTGTCTACACACAATGGGCCACTTTTTATCCCTGTTTTCCCACGTTTGTTCTCCTCAGACCATGTTGATGCCTGCATTTCCCCACTTTTGGCTCCTCCCCGGGCGTCCTGCAATAAGCCTTGTGCAATCCTGGGATGCCCTTCCTCTGCACCCCATAGCCTGTCCCATAGCCCGGCAGTGCCCCCGGGGTCTGTGAGGTGCTCGGGAGAGGGTGGGTGTCCTCCAGCCCACGGGCTGAGCTCCCCTGGGACTGGGAGGAGCTGGGCAGGGGCTCATGGCTCTGAGGGTGTCACTGGGGATCCCCTGCTGTCTCCTGGGGCACTGTTCTTGCTGCAGGGAGACGGAGGCTTGCACGCCATAACCTCGCACGACCAGCTAAGCAGTTTCTGCCTTGTCGTCCCCCTGCCTGAAACTGGTAATCAGTTCCCTGGATTTTCTGTCTCATTCACATACAAGCTGTCCAGACAGGTTTCTCCTCTGGTACAAGCTGGCGTAGCTGTGTTGCACAGTCTGATGTTGTCTGATGCTTGTCTGCAAATCAATGCTGTAAGAAGAGCCAATCCACTTTTTTTTTTAAAAGAAGTACTATTTTCTATAATTTCAGGAAAACTGTCTGCCACAAATAAATGCTATATTTTAAAAGTTGTCTACACTCAGTAACTGAATTGATTTCCCAACTGAGTGACATTTTCCAGAGCGGCTTTTAGGGCAACACTTTCAGAAGAGGCTCATTGCACTGCAAGGCTGTGTGCTGCACTGCACCCAGCAGGGACAGGCACTTGGCAAGCACACAGTGTGTGCTAAACCTGGAGGGTTTCATATGCTCAGGAGTAAGTTTAAAACCAGAGACGAGCAACAACATTATAAATTGGCAAACCTCTGCCCCTAGTTGTATACATAGACATATTACTTCTGGGTGTATAGTCTGGAGTCGTCTTGAACCACCACCAAAGAAAACTTTTTGCCATTCAAAGACTGCCTGTTTTATTTTGGTACTGTATGGTCAGTGAGTTGGTCAAAGGCCTGGTCTGCCTCAGGATAAAGGCAAAGCTGACCTAGCACAAGCCTTCAGAGACAGAGCATCCAAAGCATGAACTGCTGGTTGCCGTTCCCTGGGCAGAGAGGGAGGAGACGCACACAGCATAAGGAGAGCCAAGCATGGGGCCATTCAAAGACTGCCTGTTTTATTTTGGTACTGTATGGTCAGTGAGTTGGTCAAAGGCCTGGTCTGCCTCAGGATAAAGGCAAAGCTGACCTAGCACAAGCCTTCAGAGACAGAGCATCCAAAGCATGAACTGCTGGTTGCCGTTCCCTGGGCAGAGAGGGAGGAGACGCACACAGCATAAGGAGAGCCAAGCATGGGGGGGGAGAAGTAGACTTAGAGAAATGGGAAGATGAGACCAGCCGGGGCATTGCAGGGCAGTCCCTGCCATGGTGGTGCTACTCAGGAGGAGACAAACTTCAGGGAAGGAAAGCTTGTAACTCCTGACTGAGACCCACCCTCCAGCTGGTAACAGGTTTGGTTTGCTTGACAGGTGGTCCTGGAGCAGGGGTAGAGTCAAGCGGTAGAAGAAGCCAGCAGTGGTAGTGGGAGAGAGGCCAATACACTACATGCCTATATAAGTCACTTGGTAGGCAGCAGGAGAGGAATGAATGCACAGGTTGGTAGCAGGGATAGGCATGTGGGAAGGATGCAAGAACCCAAATTCATGCTGCAGGGCAGGAATCTGAAGTCCCAGACTCCATGTACTGCCTGCCTCACGTACAAAGGCATGGATCCACAGCCTTGCTGGGAGGGGTGTGACCTTAGGGAACCTTTAGAGATGGGAGAACTGGGAGAGGAGGGGTGGGCTGTACATGAGTCAGGACAGAGCCAGGCTGCTGGCACAGACAGAAAGATCATGGTGGTGTGTTTAAACTGGAAGTTGCCAGGAGGCTGACATGCCTGCAGAAGCACCTGGAAATGTTCAGTACTCTGAAAATGCCTGTAGGGAAATAAGTATCACAATTGCAATAGATCTGGAGGCTCAGACTGTTCACAGTGGTGGTTACTGGCACACAGAAGCTGGAGTGCGCTAACTTCCATCTACTGCTAAGCCAATGCTGAGAATCCCAAAAATAAGATGGGGAACCTTTAATGCCTGGGGCTGCCTGCAGTGGCCTGAACCCTCGGGTTTAGGAGAACATCTCTGTGTTCAGGCACTTCACAGAGGCTTCTGTATCCCATCAGCCAGACCCAAAAAACCCAAACAAATACCAGTGAGATCTGGGATCTTTACAGTAGCTTGATTATCCCTTTCATTCTGTGCTTTTTGCACTTTGGGGCAGCAAAATGCACCATGGAGGATCCACATGCTGTCAAGCAGGCATACAGAAAATTGTTCACAAAATACATGTAGTTTAACTCACTTCACAGAGCAGAATATGAGCAAGCAGTTAATTTCAATATATGGAGTAAGAAGTGGAAGAGGTCATGTGATCAAGTACCCTTAAACTTTCAACAGGTTGAGCTGGAAGTACTGAGTTCAAATATTGTTTTCAAATGTCAATATTTATACTATCAATCACTGTGGAAAAAGCCAAATATTCATACTGACTTCATCTTTACAAGGAAAGCAAAAATAAAGTTTGTTTTCCCCAATTAATCCTTCAATTTTATACTAAATACACATGAGACCCTGACTGGTTAGTACAGTTAGGACTTTCAGACACAAAGGCAGAAAATAGTATTCTCTCCTTGTATGAAGAGAATTCAGTGGACATTCATTCATTAATTTTCAGTGGCATTCACTAATCATAAAATGTTTTATGCTCTTGTGTTACAGTGGGTAGCTCATAGAGCATACTGGAAACAGCGTGAGGTGCTGCTGTATTTGTGCAAACCCCTAATTCAAGTGCTTATTGTGACACAGTGGGTAACAGTCCCCAGCCGCCCCAACCCAGTAGCTTGCGGAGGGCACAATCTGGGGCTCTGCTGGCTTTTTCACCACCTGGCCATTGTGCAAAGCTAATGCACAGACATGACCTGCACTGCTACTTCTTGGCACAGCACAGACCTTGCATTTTGCTTTGCTCAAAGAGTGCATTTGTCTGCTTGTAAGTTAATTAGAGCTCATCGTTTCCAGAAAGGCAGCACTGGTGAAAGCTGAGTGCCTCCCTGCTGCGCCTGTCCTCCTGCTGTCTGTGCGGGAACCAGTTGTGAGACAACGTGCCAGCATCACAAAGAGAAGGTGACTCCAACCCAACACTGTCCTACAGAGCCCTGCGCTCTTAGGTGTGAGAGTCTGCACCCAGCCTTTCATGGAACCTTTTATCTGGTGGCCAGACACCTTATCAATAAGACTATCACAGAATCATAGAATCGTTTAGGTTGGAAAAGACCTTTAAGATCACCCAGTCCAACCATTAACCTAACACTACCAAGTCTACCACCAAACCAAGGGTAGAGTAATAATTAATTTCACGTTTCCTGGCTTGGTGGCTGGATTATTTTTTAATGAAAGTAAAAAACTAGGAATCATTAAGGTTGATAAGGACATCTAAGATCATCAGTCCAACTGTCAACCCAACACCACCATGCCTACTAAACCATGTCCCAAGGTGCCATGTCTACACATTTTTTGTACACCTTCAGGGATGGTGACTCCACCACCTCTCTGGACAGCCTGTTCCAATGCTTGACCACTATTTCCATGAAGGAATTTATTCTAATATCAAATCTAAACCTTCCCTGACTATAATGCCATCTGTAACCTAGTGAAGTACTGGAGTGATCTTGGGGTGGTGGCAGAGAATGAGTGGGGAGAGCTTCTGGTCACCTTCAAACCAGGCAGCCATGGGAGCCACCCTGCTCCCACAGGAACGTTCTCCCACTCAGACAACGATGCAACCTGTTGTAGGTCCTGCCTCATCTTCCGTGCTAGCTCTGGCGTGCCAACTGCTCCCTGGCTATGGCACACACTTGCACTACGGCAGCAGTGGGCAGGGGTGGTGTTCACAGCTGGGGTCCTGCACCTGGGGAAGACCAACCCCATGCACTAGGACACAGTGGGGACAGCCCAGCCAGCAAGCAGCTTGGCAGAAAGGGACCTGCGGTTCCTGGTGGACACCAAGTTGAACATGAG